CCAAAGTACTCAAGGGAGAGGTCATCAAATCACAAACATGCAGGGGAATTGGTTATGTGCTCCATATGTGAGGGGTTTTATTCCAAAGTGTACATCAAGAGACACCAGGACCAATGTATGAAGCAATCTCAAAGTAGCAACTGTGATACAAAACCAATTAGGCTGAAAGATAATCTGGCATTTGCAGACAAGTAGCTTGAGAGAAATATTACAGTCAGCTGTTGAATTTATCTTGGTCACTGAGATGGTCACTGAGATGGCCACTGCTTTAAGACTGGGAAATATAGAATTCTGTAGTCAACAAGTTAAGTGTGAAATGTGCAAAGTACTCACAAGTCATATGGTGATTTTTTCCTTTGTTTTGTCTTTTTTCTAGGAAAGAAGGAAGTACAGAAGTTTCTGCAAGAGTATCCTACATTCAAGATAAGACACTTCATTACTATCAGAAGTAAAGTCATGAATGAGAAATGCAAGCGAGAGAGAGTGGTGCAAAAACTGGCTGGTAAACATTCTCTATCAGTATAGCCTTCTAATGATGCATGGGCATCTTAATGATGAAATTAAATAAACTGTTTTGGTAGACTTGTGTTTTACAAATTGTTTTTTAGTATTCATCAAATTGACCTTGGATGAAAAATGCTTTTGTGAGAAGGTCCTTCAAAGGAGGAGTTCGACATTCATCATTCCTCATTTACATTTGTTGTGGGGCAGATTACAATTCATTCAAAATTTTAACTTGTAGGCATTTTGAGTGTTCTTTGCGAATGATGTAAAAAGTTGACAATCAAGAAAATTTAACAAAAGAATTGATACTTTTTGAGTTTTGCTTAATGCTATAAGAATAGCTACCATATTGTTGTTGCGTATGGAGCATGAGTTATTGTACCTGTGAATAATATAGGACATTTGGTGTAATTTGGCGCAACTTGTCTTGGTAAGTGCACCAAACAACCCTTTAAAAAATGCAGTATGCGCAGAAGTCTAATCTAGAACGTACTTAAAGGAAAATGAAACCTTTGGAACAAGAAAGCTTGTGTGAAATCAGAAAAATCAAAGAAACGGATCAATGAAAGTTTGAGAAAAATTGAATAAATAATAAGAAAGTTATGAGCATTTGAAGTTTGAGATCTTTATTGCAATGTAGATCCTCCAATTGGCAATGCAACAAAGATGTGTGATGTCACGTGTGAACAACTTTCCCATTACTTTTGTCTGTATTTCCCTTAAACTGCCCCTTTTATCATATTTATCAGTAAATCATGTATTCTTTCTATAGGAGGGCATGTAATACAGATTTTCAAAGAATACATCATGGATGAAGAGTTTGTATCACCATAAGAAAGAACAGAAAGAGACAATTTGGGGGTATTTTATAGTGCATCAAATGAAAAGTTGTTCACATGTGACATCACAAATATTGGTCGCATTGCCAGAGAGAGGATCGATCTCCATAGCATTAGTGATGGCGACATTCAAATGCTCATAACTTCCTCATTATTTGTCTGATTTTTCTCAAACTTTCTTTGATCTTATTCTTTGATTTTTCTGTTTCCACATAAGCCCACTAATTCCAAAGGTTTCATTCCCCTTTAACAACATAAGTTGCACTTTTACCGCATGCAAAAAAAAAAAAAATTACGTGACTGGAATGTCATTCCGTCATATCATCTGCAAATTTGGGAGTGCCTGACAACCTACGCAGTCACAATGCTTTTGTGACACTACAGATGTTTGAAAAATGAATAGGAATTTCGTGAAGTATTTGAGTTCAGCCATTTTATGAATAATGAAGAACTTTGTGAATTGCTTTTGTTAGGTTCATACAAAATATACATTCTCTGGCACTGTATTTCAACGTGCATAGAGCCACAGGCATCCATAATTATTGAAATATAGTTGTAAATAGCAATCTAGAGAGTAATGTTTGTGTCTATGAAATTGCTATTAACAGTGATTCCTTCTCCTACCAATGGGACTGAGCAATTGCCTCACTAATTAGTCGATTATCGCATCAGTGCGCCTGTAAAATTTAGGGAACAAAGCCTTTTTCTCATCAGCAACTTCATCTAAATCTAATTTGTAATGCTATTCTTGAATACCACTCTGGAGACTGGAATTTTTTGTCTAGCGTTTTTTAGTCCATGCCCTACAGTCCACTAGTGTGGGTACTGAATGTTGGCAGTCATGTCGACGGTACTCGGACCGTACGCTCCGGGCACTTTGTTTAATGCTGCCACATGAGGTAGAACCTGCAGTGTGCCATCACCATTCTGTCAACAGTACTCCAACATTCAGCACCCTCACTGCCATCATTACCGGTTTACTTTTGAATTTGATCATTTAATTGCAGTTAATGTTATGCTATTTCAAATTATGTGATGATATCAATCTATATGAGTCGTTTGTTGGGAATATTGATTTTGAGATATACATGTTACCAACAATTTGATCCTCCCCTCTCTGAAAAGATAATACTGGTTGATCTATTTGTGAATTGAATTTATTAGATCCTCATTGGCATAGTATGCCAATATTTTGTTCAAAACAAACCATACAAAACATACATATTATTTGAAGGGGAAAAAATAACACAAGGCAAAACAAAGTATAACAAAATATTAAATACAGGCTAGTTTAAAAATGCCAAAAAAAGTTATATTGGTCACACTTTCTCTAAACTTAAATTTAAATACATAGATCATTAAAAAATATCCACTTGGCATCCCTGAATGGAAAGTAATTGTTAATCTCTAATTTTTTTGACAACCATGTGCAATTGAAAAAAAATAGCCGCAAGTAGCAATTTTAGATGATTCCCCATAATCCACAACTAGCGTTATTATTATTATTATTATTATTATTATTATTATTATTATTATTATTATTATTATTATTATTATTATTATTATTATTATTATTATTATTATTATTATTATTATTATTATTATTATTATTATTATTATTATTATTATTATTATTATTATTATTATTATTATTATTATTATTATTATTATTATTATTATTATTATTATTATTATTATTATTATTATTATTATTATTATTATTATTATTATTATTATTATTATTTATTATTATTATTATTATTATTATTATTATTATTATTATTATTATTATTATTATTATTATTATTATTATTATTATTATTATTATTATGTACAGGAGAGTGGGCATGGAGGACGAGGAGGAGAGGCTTGCCATGCCATCATGGTGTGCTACAACGGTTGCAGAAGACAGAAGTCGAGTGGAGAGATGAAGGCATACCTTGACAATGACACCAAATGCAGAAGACATACACTTCTAGAAGCATTTGGAGTTGATCCTGAGGGACAGCATGTTCCACATCTTTGCTGTGACATTTGTGCATGTGATTGTAAATGTGGAACAGATTCATGCAATCACCCATCCTTGAAAATTGCTGAAAAAGAACATCAGGGAGAGTTAAAGTGCAGAGAAACATCTGAGGAAGATAGGAGTCGCCTCCAGGTCAACCTTGTTTCGCTGAGAGAATGTAATCTGCAGCATGAGGGCTCTCTTTATTCTGGGAGAGCTATCACCAGTGCCCTGTCATGTGAGGTGATAGACAACATTGATGAAGAAATAGACTACATTGGGAGTAGCGAAATTCTTCAGACGAGGTTTAGCTATTTTATTGACACAGCTGTCTAGTGGGAAATTATCGTTGCCACTGTTGGGCCTTCTGCTGCTGAAGTGATTCAGGAAAGTCACGAAATACTTGAAGACACACCTATTGAACATGAAGATGATGTGCCTCATGAAATAGATATTGATCTCTGAGGACATTTATAGACTTAAAGTTTTATGGTAGTACATGTATTTTTAAACTTGTATGATATTCCCGGAATCGTCAGAGAGGTATGCGGTGGCCAAGACCAGTTGGTTGCGGAACAACCCATGAAAAGGTATGACCTTGTATGATATTCCAGGAATCGTCAGAGAGGTATGCGGTGGCCAAGACCAGTTGGTTGCGGAACAACCCATGAAAAGGTATGACGTTGTATGATATTCTAGGAATCGTCAGAGAGGTATGCGGTGGCCAAGACCAGTTGGTTGCGTAACAACCCATGAAAAGGTATGACCTTGTATGATATTCCCGGAATCGTCAGAGAGGTATGCGGTGGCCAAGACCAGTTGGTTGCAGAACAACCCATGAAAAGGTATGACCTTGTATGATATTCCAGGAATCGTCAGAGAGGTATGCGGTGGCCAAGACCAGTTGGTTGCGGAACAACCCATGAAAAGGTATGACGTTGTATGATATTCTAGGAATCGTCAGAGAGGTATGCGGTGGCCAAGACCAGTTGGTTGCGTAACAACCCATGAAAAGGTATGACCTTGTATGATATTCCCGGAATCGTCAGAATTCTTGACGAAGGTGGAACAAACACAGCCATTTGTTCTTCGGTTAAGAAATCGAATAAGGCCTGAACAACAATTTGTCATCATCAAACGAAGAGCAATTCCTGAGGTTGTATGGTATTCTCGGAATCGTCGGAGAGGTATGGCAAGACACGCTTACACCACGAAACATCATCCAAGGATTGGCCAGTGGAATCCTCTAGATCTAAGTCTGCCAGAAGGAGGAATGTATATGTGTGCCTAAAAATGAACATAGGAGAGGACCACTTCCTGAAAGGTACAAAGACTATTCCCCCTTTTCTAATGTCCAGTGTGGTGATACGTTTTCTCAGTGGAAGTTCCAGATAACTGTATCAGTGTAGGAAGGGGTAAGGGTCATGTAAAAAAATATTATTCAAGATCAAAATTCAGATGTGTACATGTATGTTCTGTATCAACCATTCAAAGTAGAAAGCGACTTCTTTGAATACCGGTAGCCTTTTCCATCATCACATTTAGGGATTTATCAAGTTTCTGAGCTTTGTGCTTCCATTAAGTGTGCTGCGTTAACAGAGGTGACCTGTAAATATATTAGGCTTCAATGCAAAGAACGATTTGTTATCATTCCTCTTCTGCATTAGTTTGTGTGATGGTCAAGCCAAGTTCTCATCAGGAAAACAGAGTTGTGGAAGAAGTACATTGTAGCAGTATTAATAGTTTTATAACCCCTAATACTTTCAAATCTCCTTTACACTCTCGTTTACATGTATGATCATGTTATATACATGTATCAAAATGTCATTAAAGCTTTCATTTACTGCATTGTCCAATGTTCTTTACCATTTAGTATATGTAAAATCATATTCCTGGAAAATATGTCTTTTCATCCATGTCATATTTAGTTACATTTTTTAATTTTTGTATCATTTATACAGAACTGAAAGAAGGAAGTACTACAAACATGCGCAAAAAGCAAGACAACATCCAGACAAGTATATCAGCATCATTATTGACGAAATGGACCAGAAATCCACAAGTATACCCAAATTTTACAGAACGTCCAAATCAGTTTCATCAGCATGGAGACTTCCATCACACATCACCGGAACAATAGTACATGGGAGGGGACAACACATGTTCCTTGACAGCAAAGAATACCCACATGATTCGAACCTTACGGCAACGATCCTTCTCCAGGTTCTTCATAAATATTCTACCACGCTACCAGATACATTATACCTTCAAATGGATAACTGTGGTAGGGAGAACAAGAATCAGTGTCTCCTTGGACTCCGTGCTCTTCTAGTGGAACTCGACGTGTTCAAAAAGGTAAATATAGAGGACTAATCCAATTGAAGTAATAGTTGGCATCAATCTGGACATAAAATTTGTTACCCATTGGCTACTGATGGCTCTGACTATCATAGGTTTAACACAGGGACCACCTGGTTCCTGTAGCCAATGGGTTAATTTGCTTTCCATCAGTACAATCCATAGTTATCAATGCAAAAGCTACCTTTGGATTGAGCAGCAGATGTAGCAGTCACATTTCTGGACAGAATTCTTTCAATCTTGATTTGTGTCACTAGTCTTTTTAGTGGTGTCGTGCATTTGGTCATCGTGTTGGACCTCTTGATGAAGTCACACCCAGTGAAGTTTTTTCGGACTTCTTGTCAGCAGAGATAATTGATAGAATAGTGGTGGAGATTAATCGTTATGCTGACCAGTATTTCAGGAGAGTAGGAGGGAAAGAAAACTTGCCTCCTCGGTCAAGGGCAAGGATCTGGATTCCAACTGATCCAGCAGAGATGAGGGCCGTTTTTTTAGGAATCTTCATGTACATCGGCCTTGTCCGCTTGCCGGCTTACAACCTAGTGTGGAGTACAAACGCACTGCTTAATCTTGGCATCAAGAGCATCATGTCACGGGACCGGTTTTTTGCCCCCGGCCCAGGGGCTACCGTTCAATTGCTGCGTCAGAATATTATTACAACTTTTGGAGATATAATTAATCATACTATCAACTTTGTACTTTTTATTTAGCCAAGAGTTTTTGGTCTAAAGACATCAAGGGTTATTTTTCACTTTAGAAGCTGTGATATTATTTTTCTTCCATTCTGCCTCGATGGGACAGTGAGGAACTGGACAATCTAAGTGTTGTATATAACTATGATTTAGAGCACTTTTGTTTGAAAAACAACAATTGTTATTATTTTGAAAATAACGCTGACTTTAATTGTGACGATAGTCTCTATTCTAGAGATGGACTGCATATACATGTAAATAGAGAAGGTGCGAAGGTTTTATCGGACCACTTTGAAGAGTTTGTATTTAGACTGGTTGCAGGTTCTTTTAAACCAAAAATACACAAAACAAAACAACCAGTTGAGCTGCAGAGGTTGTGGACACCAAGGAAGGTGAAAAAACAGTGCAACCCATGGAAAGAGACAAATCTTGACATTTATATTTATATTTATCGAAGAAGAAAAAAAAGGTGCACCACGCCAAAGACAAAGTAAAAAATGGAGGCCGAAACAGGACATCCTGTTTCTGGATGGTTTCAGGCTGCCAAGATGTCTGTGTAGGGCAGAGGAGCCTCCACAGCTGCAACCTAATCGGTATATCCCGCACTACTGGACAGCTATCCTCATACCCTATAAGGAGATAGGATGGGAAAAAGCGCACACTCAGAGTTCAGTGAAGCTTCAGGGAGCCAGGAGCCGCTATGTGCGGAGGAAGGTGAAGAGAAAAGTTAGGAGACCCACCCACAAGAGGAGGAAAAAACCTTGTGCTCCTGAAGGAGACGATTGCTTTGCAAAGCCACCATTAGCGGATTGCTCTCCTCCTTAGGCCTGCCACCCCTTTCCTGGCCCACCTTGTGCTCCTAAAGGAGATGATTGCTTCGTGAAGCAATAAGGTCATGATTTGTTTTACTTCTTATTACTCACTACTATGAACACGTAGACAAGCCTTTTTCAGAATGTATGAAGGACACCAATACCAGTCAGCCCTCCCTTTTCTTGTTTGGAGCAAAGAGCAACATAGAACAGATCTTCCTTCAAGTAGAGGATTATGCATCTCCTCTCCCAGCTGGCAACATCACCAACGCTTTCGACATACTATTCAAGAGCTATCATGTCTTTAACCTGGAATACCCTGTGCCAGCCGATAACTTCTTTTTGTATCTCCAAACCCAAATCTTTGGCATCAAGAAAGATGGCAAACTTCCGCCAAGAATAAAGTGACCATGCAGGCTTTCAGAATTTCAATGTAAAAGGAGGAATTTTATGAACAAAGTAATTGTTCATCATTTTCAACCTAATAGAGCAGTTCTAAAGCAATTTCAGTCCTCCAAGCTTAGTGTACACAGCAATATCTTTGGGATAACCATTCTTGTCATCTAAATAATCTACCTACCCGGTAGCCACCTCAATCTGAACCTTTGTATTAACTTCTCCAGATCAATCATTTTGAGTCTGCCTTCAATGTAATCTAAGACATTTTTCCCTCCTTTGAACGCTAGTCAATTTACAAAAGCACTAGACCATGATACACTCCCCTTTAATATTATGTTGTTAACTATTATGCATACCTCAACATTCTTTTTTAATTGTCTACTTGTATATCTTGCTCAGAGAACGGAATATTTAGTTTTCAATCCCTGCAATGTACACAGGTCAACGAACATGCAGTAGGTTGTCAACTAGCTCTGACGACTCAGACCAACAGATACCGCTACCATCACTTGGAGATTTAGATAAGGCCATCTCGGCAAAGTGTAAAGGTTTGTGAACTCTCTCCTTCAAACAATTTTTACCTCAATTTTTTTTAAATTTATATTTCAATGAATGTCATGGTAACCTGACCTTATGCAAATTTTGCATACCTTGGTAGTTCATGAGATTGAATGTGTTCCTAGTACATCTCTTTGCTATATCGATTAATCAGATCCGATTGCTAACCAATGTTATTGTAGAGCTTATAGAAATTAAACTTTACAAAGAAGAGCAAATTAAATAGGAATTTTATGGATGTAAAGACTTGACTGCACCCTTTTATTTCTCAATATCCCAGATATTCAGTTATATATGGAGCCTAACATGCTGTTGTAAACCAAAATAATAATTTTTTTATGCAGGGTCATACGAGGTGTCTCTTTCCAATCTAATAGAGGCAAATCGGGACCTTCAGAGGCCAAGGTCCAGAAAGGAGATTATTGCCGCCAAGCGACATTTGGAGAGAGTAGATATTCGGCAGGTCCATTTACTTCCTGTCATGGGTGATGGGCCGTCAAGCAACCCGACAACTGGCAAGCTTCAGGTCCTTGGTGGTCCCCCCTGTGCATATGTCGAGGCGGCTAGGAACGACACAAGGTGAACACCCGGAATCCTATCTTTCTGTGCTACAAACATGTTTATAAATAATTGATAGATAATGCAAAGGAATCTACGACTTGCCTGTCATTTTCAAAATGATCTTGATCATACATTAGTATTTTTGTCTTATGAATTTCTTAAGAATTGAATGAGTTCTGTCCTTTAAATTTTCTCTAATTACTTGACAACGTTATGCAGCACCGAACAAAACATAATCACTGCCAATAATGGTAAGGCTTAATTCTCCAATTAACTGCAATTTGCAATTCGCGATTTGCAGGATCAAAACAGCGCAAGGGAAAAGCAGATGATATTGCAGCGGCAACAACACTCCTGGGCCTTCAAGTACCGACCCATCAAAGTGACGGTGGTAATGTCTTCAAGGGACTGAAATACAGACAGACATATCATTGGGAGACATCTCATCACTCGAGGCTACAATAAGTCGGCAAAAGCAGGACGACGTGATTCTACACGCAAAACTCCAAATGGCACAGAAGCTGATAAAGTCATCTGGACTAAAAGAAAAGAACTTTTAAGATGACAATGTCAAGGTGAAATTTTATACTGGACTTCCATCATGGGCAACATTTTTGTCACTGTTTCTTCATGTAGGAAGCTTAGAAAGTTTGACAAAGCGATGATGTTTCTCAAGAAACTGCGTCTAAACATTTTTGATGAAGACTTGGGTACAGATTTGGAGTGAGCCAAAAGGTTGTGGTTGATTAGAGCCGAGAGTTTACATGCGTACGCATACATGTTGAGACTTGAGAGAATGATATGTATGGTAAAACAGAAGTTCACAATCCTTCAGAATAGGATACCAAGATTAGACTCTGCATGATACCAAAGGACTGTAATTGTTTTGCGAGAATTAAGAAGAAATTATATTGAGCTTCAAGCTTGATATTGAAAAAAAGAATACATGAGGCTTGTTTGTTTCTTTATATTTGACTGTTTGTTTTGTTTGAGTAATGTGATTGAAGTTTTTTTTAAAGAGTTGTGGAAAGACAGATTAAGGAAAAAAGAGAGGGACAGGTTGAACATGAAGTGATTATAGTGAGTATCAAGGGAAGGGAGAGGTGGGAACAAAGAATATTAGAAGGAGGGAACAAAAATGTAGTGGGACACAAAGTGAGTACCGGTATAAGCGTGGATAAAAAGTGGGGGTGGTGTGTAAATGGAAATGTGAATCTAATCAAATTCTACACTGGAATCCCCACGTATCATGAATATAGATGGCTTATGGAGCAGGTGCATCCTCGTGCCGTCACACTGCATTACTTCAAAGGAAAATCGTCACTTGATGATAAAAACTACCGAGTGCTCAACCACCAGAAACCAGGAAAAAAGCGATCACAGTCCCTCGAAGATGAACTCCTAATGACTTTGATAAAGCTAAGTCTCAATCTACGAGAAGAGGACCTTGCATTCCGGTTTGGAGTAAGCCAGAGCACTGTTTCGCTAGTGATTTCAACCAGGATTCCTTTCCTTAGCAAGGAGCTTGAAGCTTTCATCATTTGGCCAACTCAAGAGGACGTACATAAGTACTACCCAAATTGTTTTAACGAATTTCATGGAACTGTTCGCTGTATCATAGAATTGTACAGAGATTCAGACCGACAAACCTGGATTCCTTTCCTTAGCAAAGGAGCTTGAAGCTTTCATCATTTGGCCAACTCAAGAGGATGTACATAAGTACTACCGAAGTTGTTTTAACAAATTTCATGGAACTGTTCGCTATATCATAGACTGTACAGAGATTCAGATCGACAGACTGACACTGGCAGGCTCGCATTCCCAGGTGTACAGCCAGTACAAATCACGGCCAACATTGAAGTGTCTTGTTGGAATAACAACTGGACATTTCTGTCAAAGCCAGAAGGGGGTAACACATCGGATAAGAAGTTGGTGAAAATGTCAAACATTATAGACAAGTTTGAGAAAGGTGATACCATCATGGCCGATCGCGGATTCAACATCCAGGACCTCTTGTTGGAAAAACAAGTGAAAGTTGTGATTCCACCCTTCATGAGGCCGACGAAAGCTACCAACCAGTTTACCGAGTCGGAGGATGTCAGACAAAGACGGTTGCGAATGCCCCTTATACACGTGGAACGATCTATAGGGAGGATGAAGGAGTTTGGTATTCTTCAAGGACCAATTCCCCTCACTATGATAGACCTGATGGATTCTGCACTTGTGGTGTGTTCTGCAATTGTCAACATGCAGCCAATCTCTCAACTCATAATGTGAACTTCACTTCAAATGGACAGTCACGTCAGAAAACATAAACCCAAAGGCTTTTTTAAGAGCCAACACATGACACTGTGTGAGATACATGTACGTCCCCGTCGTGGTGTTGGAAATACTCTGATTTTGAGAGTTCTGCTCTCCGAATCAGGTAGCCAAATCTCACGTTTTTCAATCCTATAATATTTTTATCATAGATAAGACATCCCAATTCATGTATGTGCACCTAAATTTCCTGTGTGTCTTTTTATTTAGATTTTATATTTTTCAAAATCAAAAATAAAAGAGAATAAGTCATTTACACAAGGACGAATGTCAGAAGAATGCGAAAGAAGAGCTGGCAAAATAACAAAAGAATAGAAGAAAAAAATGCTACATTACAAGCAGTATGAGATGGAGGATAACAATGTGAAAGGGAATGTGATTATGTGATTAAGTATAGAGATAAAAAGTTGTGTAATCGATGAATAACATAATTGAGATACCCAGCTAGCAACTTTGTAGCCAAAGTGGATGAGGTGGGGGGGGGGGGGGGTGAGCTGTGGCATTCCCATAAGTTTCTTGGCACATACATCTGTTCCTCCTCTCTTTTATACTTTTCTCAACAAGTACATCTCTTCACTCTTCTATACGTACATGTAGCTCAGCAAGTACATCTCTTCACTCCTCCATACTTTTTTTCAAAAAGTACATCTCTTCCTCCTCTCTTCTATACTTTTCTTAACAAGTACATCTCTTCACTAGATCTATGTGGTTCGAACGAGTTGTTCTCCCTCACTTGACTGACACAGAATGATTGTGAAATTTTCGAATGAGAAGAGCCACATTTGAAAGCTTGTGTGATCTGCTTCGACCAGGCTTTCCAGATAGAAGTGACACTAATTACAGGAAACCCATCAGTGTTGAAAAAAGAGTTGCTATTACAATTTGGAGACTATCAACGCCATGAGAGTTCCGCACTATTGGCAATTGGCCATCTGTTTGGAGTTGGACGGTTAACTGCTTGCAAAATTGTACATGAAGTTGTTGGTTTGATCATCGAACGTGTGTTTCCTGAATATGTGAAATGGCCAACTGGTAAGTTTTTGTTTATTATTTGCAAAACATATAAATAACTGAAAATGTAATTTCTTGTTTTCAGTTTCACTTGTGATCTACATAATAAGCTGTCCCAAAGACCATGAATATTATTAAAGTTCTTCAGGTAAACAGGTCCTCAGCTGTGCTGATGAGATTGCCCATGTTATTGAAGATGAGTGTCAGCAAACATATAGGTACTTGTAATGATAACAGTGATGGTGATGAAGATCCTCCTTTGTATGCTGGTTCGACTAGACATTTTGGTGTAACTGTACTCCTTTTGTGCTGCTTCATGATTTGATTCTGTTTGTCTGAAGAAACTATGCAATACTTACATGTACTTGTACTCATTAACTTATTTCTACCACAAAACAACATGTTTATCAAGTCACTGCATACTTTGAAGAAGTATCTTGGAAAGTTTACTGTAGAGCTGATGATGTCATAACGTGACTGATTTTGTCAAAGAAGCTTCCTGCGATAAAGAAACATGTTCAGATCTTGTTTCGGATTCTGATCAAGAAAATAATACCATGTCAGAACCTTCACTTTGGTTCTACAATTTCCTCAATAAAAGATATACATCCAATTTTCAAGTTTTATCCAATGTTTATTCGACACCAAGTTGCAGTGCTTGTATAATTATAGAAGGAATGAATATAATATACATGTCACCATTCAAACATCTCAAAATTTGTAAAGAAAAATGTACTTAAATTGGTTGAAGAGAAGGAATAACTGGACATCTAATACTCTACAAAATGAGGTTATCAAATTTTTTGGAAGTGCGATTCAGCGAGAGATTATCAAAGAAGCCCAAGCTGGTGGCTTTTTCAGTTTCATCACAGATGGGACAAGAGACGTGAGCGCAAACAAGCAATTTTCTGTATGTTTGCAATATTACCTAGAGGTGATGACACAATTTCTAGGTACAACGCGCCAGACAGCACAGCAGAAACTGTAAAGAAAGTCATCAAAGATATTCTGCTCCATCTTCAACCCCCCCTAGAACTTTGAAAGGGTTTTGCTTTGATGGAGCGAGCAACATGAGCGGACATATATCCGTGGTGCAGGCTCGATTTAAAAAAGACTGCAAAGATGCCTTGTATGTACATTGCAGCAATCACTCCCTAGATCTTGCGCTACAGCAAGTAGCTAGGTCGAGAGGTTACCATTGTGGCAGACACCTTGGTATTCGTCAGGGAAGTCTCAAATACCATAAGAGAGTCAGCTTAAAGACAATCTCTTTTTAAAGGGATGTTCGAGGATGGAGCTGTATGACTCCTAGGACTCTGCCCGACTAGATGGTGCATTCAAGTTTCTGCCATCCAGGGGTGATAGTGAGCACTAACAACAAAAATGGAATCTAACAACATGCTCCCCTTTTTAATAAGAAAATTGGGGATAAATTGGGAAAAAACTGGAAAATCAAGGTAAAATTGGGGTAAACTCAAGGTACAATCAGGGTAAAATCAGGAGAACCAAAAAAGGGAAAATTGGGGGAAAAAAAAATCAATCAACTTGAGGCCTTTTTGACCAGTGAGAATGCAGCCAGCGTTCTGATGGACGCGGGACGGATGTTTAACTGCGATGAGCCAGGATTTGTTTTGGGTGGGGGGAGGATGGAGAAAGTCCTCGCGAGGAAAGGAGATAAGCCTATAGTACTAACCGGTAATGAAAAAAACGTGCAAAATAATCAAAGCATGATTTTATTGCCTATTTGGTATATTATTTAAACCCAAAAGGCAAAAAATACTGTTTTTCCAGGTAATCACCCTACCCCCCCCCCCTA